GAACAGATAATCAAATACTAACTTCAATGTAAATTTGACAATGGAACTAGAGTTGCAGAATGAAAATGAATGTTCTAAGTGTGGCTTAAAGCTGCTTTTATGGGTGGGGTGAGGATACAGCCATTCACAGGGTGAGAACACTGCTACAGAATTAATTACAAGTTAGATCAAGAAGACTCCACTTATTGCAGGGATTGCCATTTTATGTAAATTTGTACAAAGCTCTAAATGGCAGGCTCACATAGCTCATCTCTACACACTACTGTGACATAAAGCAGCCTTGTTCTCATAATACTGAAGTAGTTATGCCCTCTTCTAGGTGAGGAAATGTACATATGCAAGCAACAAGAATAATAGCAGGATTTGTTTCTGACTGTAAATGTCTCCATAACTACACATGCAAATCAGGTATTGCCCTTGAAAATCTGGAGAGCAGCCAATGTGCTGTGCTTCCTTGATGTAAACAATTATGCATAAACAGCATTTCTTTTTACAGGGTCTTTGCTACTCCAGCTTCCAAGTGTTCAGACCAAGATTTTTCTTCTACAGTTCTTCATCTGAGCTTTCCTGCAGTTTCCTGAGTACCCTCTAAACAACCCTTACCTTTGCAGCTCCAAAGAGATCTTCCAAGGTCTGAGAGAAATTCCACCCACGTGCACTCATGACCATGACAGAAACAAATGTTGCATCTCTGCATTTCCAAGGTGCCAATGAAGCCCTGACCATTTTGTCACACTCTGAACCACACTTCATCAGAGCTGCAAGATTTTCTCCTGTCATGGGGCAGGTGTTTGTATGTGTGTGAATGTGTGTGCATATTCTGTGTGTCTAGAATATCTGATATGTCACCTGAGTCGTGAAGTTTCAGCCCAAAGTGGTCCATGCAGAAGTCTTCATTTTAATGAAGTTTTAAGAAAACAAGAAAAACAAATCTGTGACATTTATAGTAGATACGTGTGTAAAGAGAAACAAAGGATCCCCTTCTCCTCACAGGTAAGCTCAAGTTGAATACTTAAAACTGCTACAGAAATAATATTTACACATGTGTAAGGAGTATTTATTTTGTGGATGTCCGCAGATATGAAAATATTTTGTGTAATTTTGAAAAGACTAACTTGGAAAACATTTTGTAGGGTCGATGCTTGGTATTATTAAAAGAACTGTATTCTTTGAAAATTGTGAAGAATTCACATACCTGATTAGTAATTGTAGATTTGTTGCAGAAAATAAAGCATACTGAAAGAATAAGCATGTTCAAAGAAACGAGTTTTGGCATCTCAGACAGTATTCTTTCTGTCGGACTAGACTTTGTAAAGGATCAGATTGGACAGTCTGGAGCTTAAATTCCTGTAACTCATCTCATACAGCTCTTTTGCTAATGCCTATTCAATTAAAGAATGAGTCCATTCTAAAATTAATTGTGGCCACAGGGTCTAGTTTTAACAGAAAGCTTCAGTTTGTGAACATGGTGTGGCTTCTGTAAGGGGAAGTGGGAGTTTCTATATAAAACCGGTGGATCCATTGTGCAGCCGAGGTAGAGGAGAATATTGCAGGTGTCACAGTTGGGGTTAGTCCACACTACAAAAGCTTGCCCAGAAAAATTAATTACACAGGGAGTCAGTGTGATTTTTCAATACCACTCCCCCACTGGCCTATTTAAACTGTTCCATCTGCATCCACATTATGACTTCTATCATTACTACAATGCATTGCATCAGTTTTGGTTTCCATACTTAAATAAACTGTCAGCCTATATTAACCTATGTATAGATATTTTCATGTGGTTTCCTAGTGGGAAAGGATTATGCAGTCATACTATAGACATCAATCCTTACTATAATTCCTGTCTGACCTTGTTAGATGATTTTAATCAATCCCAAAAAGCAGCAGAGATCTCAGACACAATTACTTTCCCACAGTTTTCATAAAGATGGATAAGCCAAGTACAGGAAAGACTTCCTGTTATTGCTGGCATGAGGGACCGCCTGCAGTTCAGCCTTTATTACACTCCGCCTACACAGAAGAGGACCAATATGAATCCTTTTAAATTCAGGAAACAAGGCTTTTATAACCCACATCTTATTAGATACTGGAGATTCTAACCATAAGACATGCAGCAAGAGCAAACTGGACCTCTTGAGTCCAGCTGCTCATGGCAGTATATCCCAGTATATCCCTATGCTAGTATCCACCCTATCAGTTTGGCAGCATCCAAAGCTGGGGTGCTGCTTCTTTTCTCTAGGCTGGCATAAGTAACACTGCAGAACTTTCCAGACCAGACAAGCTCTTGCCTGCAATGAAATTTCTGAAGTCAAATTCACAAGTCATTTAAAAGTGCATGTGGTGAGCAGGGTTGGGGTCCAGCTGTGAGAACCAGCAAGCAGTTAACTTTGCTTGAGCCATGACAGATACCTGGCTTCCTCACCAAACGGAGGGCACACTTTGCCCAGTGGGACTGGAGGGACAAGAGTGGTTTGGGGTTTGTTTTTGTGGTTTTGGTTTGTTATTGTTATTGTTAGCATGTTTTTGATACGTTTATTTCTTACAGGGAAACTCACTGAAAATCATCCATTTCACACAGCGATGGATAAGAGGGAGGAATCACTGCCTGGTCTAAGTTCCTGATTCAACTCTTGAATCTTGCCCAATGCAAACAAAGTATTTGCATCCCCACCAGCAACAAGGAAAAAAAAAAAAACAAAAAAAAACTGCACTAAGGTTGCAAACCAAGCACTCAGTACAAAGAATGCCAAAACTGAGACATACTCCATTCAGTGCTCTGAAGGGCAGAGCTTACAGAAAGAGAATCTGATTCCTTTTTATCCTCCTTGTTCCACCCCCTGGAAAATACTCAGTGAGAAGGCCTGCTCTTAGCTCAGAAGTAATTTTTTCTATGTGCTTTTCAATTTCAGTCATTACCATAGTATCTAACAGTTTCATAAGACTTACTTTTTAATTCCCAACTTAAATAAGAGGGGTTTATAACTCATATATTCCTGGTTAGTCTTTTGAAAAATAGATGTACATGATCAAAACTAGAATTTGCCTCTCCAGCAGAAATTTTTCTCAGGTGTAAAGCATCCATAAAGCCTATTACATTCAGCTGCAGCTTAACACTAACAAAAGCAAAAAGACAGATTTTTATTATGGCTTCACAGAAAATCAGAACATACAAATAACCAGCTGCAGAGAGTCTAGTTTCAAGGAAAATTAAGGAAAACATGTTGAGAAACTACCACACTCAGCATCAGAGTGCCTGATTTTTGGAGTCTTGGCTCTCAGGACGTTACCTGGTTGCTGAATAAGAGACCTTGGAGTAATATCCCAAGAATCTGTACACGTAGTTCACAAATCTGCTTCAGGTAGGTGGTTGGGGATGCTTTGGATATGGTTGTGCTACAAACCCAGCCATTCTCCATAATTAGGTGCCTCGTTCACGGATTTTCATTTTTTCCCTCTGCCTTTTTTAGCCCGTTTTCAAAATGCAGCCACAGGGTCAGAGTTTTAAAATATGGCTGGAGAAGTTCCCTTTACCAATCTCTTGCCACATAACAGTCCAGCATCTAGACCACGGGCCAGTGAGCTAGATTCAACTCCTCCATGACCAAATGGGAAGAAGGTGACTAAATCTTGACCTCCCAAAGAGTACATTCAACACACCCCATCAGCCCGAGCCTGTCAGGGCACTGATGGCACAGTTACACCTTGATAACCCTGACCAGCCTCACCCGGAATCCACAGACACAGCCCATGCGCCAGAGCTCCATTTAAGCCCAGGTCTGGGCCTTTAGTCCCATCAGAGCTTTCTAGTAGATACATGCACATTTTGCTTGGTCTCCTGCCTTGTTTCCCAACCGTATTGTAGCTCTGTGTCCAGCTGTGGCCTTATGCTCTTTGTACAATCTTTAGACCTGTTTCGTTGCTTCATCTTGTCTAGGACTGTCAGTGAAGCTGCACTGTGCTGCCACTGCCCTGCTCAGGTATTGTGGCAAAGTGCTCTGGCCAGTAAGAACACTACCTGTGGTGTGGCTGCCCTCAGCTCCAGGCTTTCCTCCCTTGTGCAGCAGCCTTCATATTGCAATAGTGATAATAGCAATAATAACCATAAGCATAATGAAAAGGAGAGAGATGAATAAAACCCCGGAAAACTGTTTTGTTTTTTTTTCCGAGAACACAGTACGCATGCTCAGCAGACACTGACTGATGCCTAGCCAGTAGCTGCCGACTGGAGTTAAACCATGACAAGTGTTTAATTTGCGTTCATCTTACATGGAAGGTAGAAAGGGATTCTACATGGCTGGTATGGACTGGGACTGTAACAGGACTTTGCTCTATCCAGCTCATTGCCTCCCAGCCCCCAGACTCAGGAACCCTCCAGCCCTCCTATATAACCACACACCCAGCAGCTGACAGCGCTGTCCCAGTGATGTGTCATCCCAGTCACCATCACCTTACAATGTTTTGGGTGTTTATAACAGACTCAGTTCCTGCTGTTCCCTATTCATGGAAGCTGCCTTTCACCCCACAATCAGAGCCTGGCAGCAAATGTTTGCGTTGCCACATAGAGTGAGTATTGTGTGTCAGGGTACTCGGTGCTTGGATGGCTGCCACGGCATTTATCTTTTTCCACAGCATCCAGGCCGTGGAGTTACTTTTTGTTTCCCGGTTTCTACTTGAAGGGTCAGATGGTCACAGGTGCGCATCACCCCGCGTTTGCCCCAATAAGGGATGACGAACACTCAGTACCGACCAGGGCCGGCGACGCTCAGGGGACGGGCGCTACGCCGCGCTCCTTCTCCCCGGCCGCCGCTTCCCCAGCTCCCCTTCCCTCCTCGGAGCCCGCAGCCCTTCCTCAGCCGCGGCGCAGCACCAGGACCTCTCCTTCTCTGCTCTGGCGGCGCCCCGAAGGGCGGGCGACGCCGATGCGGGGAGGGGTCGCCCCTTCCCACCGCCCCGGAGGAAGTGACATGTGACGGCGGGAAGGGAAGGCGAGGGGGGCCCTGTTCCCGGAGTGGAGCCGCCCGGCGGGTGGAGCCTGGCGGCCCCGCCCGAGCCGCCCGCCCGCTCCCGCCGCGTGCGAAGTAGTGGCAGCCGGTGCCGCTCGGCCGCCGCCCGCTCCCGGCGCCCCAGCGCGGCACGCGTGCCCAGGCCCGCCGGCGCCAGGTACGTGCTCTGCCCCGGCGCCCTCCGCGCTCCAGGTGCGAGGCCGCCCTCCTTTCTCCGCCCGGCGCGCTGCCCTGGGCGGACAAACCAGCCCCGAGCCAACCCCTCCCTGGCGCTGCCGCCCCCCGGCGCGCTGTGGCGGCGAGGCGAGGGGCCGGCAGCAGCCGGCGGGGCGTGCGGGAGAGGCGGGCGGTGGGCTGCGCGCAGAAGTTCCCTGATTTATTCGTCGCCGGGCCGGGTCTCCCCACCGCCCGGACCCGCGCCATTTCTCCCGCGGCCGCCGAGAATTTTCCTGCCGCCTGCGAGCCCCCTTTGTGTGGCGAGCTCTGCCCGCGCCGGGGTTTCCGTGGAAACGGCGGAGCTGCGGCGGCCCGGCCCCGCCGAGCCCCGCTCTGCCGCGCCGGGCGGGCGTGCTGCCCCTTCCACTTTCCCTTCGGTGCTGGCCGCTCGGCGCGGCTGGCGGTGGCCGGGGATAGGGCGGGCGGTGCGGTTGCCCCGGGAACGGGTGGGTGCCGTCGCCGCTCGCTGCCGCCACCCCGAAGGCGCCGCTCCAGAGCGAGCGCGGCGTGCCCCGGCCGGGTCCGGAGCGGGCAGCGGGCGCGGCTCGGTCGTGGCAGCTGCTCCGTCCGCCGCGCCCGGGAGTCCGTGAGCTGAGCGGGGAGAGGGACAGGCTGCCTCCCTAGTGACGTGCTCACGTGTTGTAGGAGCGCTGCCTTTCGCCTATCGGCGTCTGTTCATAAAGATATTTAAACCGAATTAAATAATGGCCGCGAACTGAGTTAAGGTGTGTCGGCTGATACCATGTGGTGAACATTATTTAAATGACAAGTAATACTTTTTAGCATTTATTTCAACAAGTGACACTCACTCGAATGGCTGAAAAGACAACCCACGAAAGAATCTGTTTTAGCAATGTCACACCAAGACTTCTGATCCTTATCTTTGTTAGGCATTTCTAAAAGTCGTGTTTTAAGTCCCTGTGCAGACATTTAAGAATGATACACCTTATGCAGGTGCTTGTGTGGGAGATTGCAACCTTGCTGCTACAGGAAAACTGAAAATGCTTTACAAGAAGGTAGAAGGATGCCAGAAACTCTCAAACAAAAAAACCCAAGCATATATTTAAAAACAGTGATGCCTCTGGCCCAGGAAGTTGTACCAGGCGATTGTAGCCTCAGCTTGTACTGATAATGACTTCACACTAGAGTGAGTAGCAAATGAATTAAAAACTGCTGGAGTAGAGAAACTGTTGTGAAACAACTTAAGCTGAAATTTGCAGCCTTTTTTTTTTTTCTCTAAGTTCTTGTGTGAAGGATAAGATTGGTGTAGACATACAGAGGCCTGTTTATATATGCCAGGACTACTTCTGTGTAATGACTGACTGCATGGATCAGTAGAATGAGTTTATGTGCTCTAAATGATGTCCTTTTCTTTATCTACTTATATCTGATACAATGGTGTAGTTTTTCAAACGCTATGGATTAAAACACATATTTATTCACTTTAGAAATTAGTGTAAATGTTATGTGTAGCTTTCCTCTTCCCTGTTAATCTTTTGCATTAACAATGCCTGAATAAGCTCTATCAAAAAATGAAACTTTTACTCTATTTTATGGATGACAGGGTCAGGTTTCATGTGGAAGAATATACTGGGAAGCCTGCAGAGAAGAGAGAACATATTGCAAGCTGCTTATGGATAAAGGTTGCCCTTAAGTAAAGTTTAGTTGTGTTGTTGGCAAGCTCTTTAACAGATTTTAGTAGGTGCCTCACAACAAGGTGGAAGTAATGTATTTTAGGAGTGGAGAAATTGTACAGAGAGATTAGCACTTGCTCACAGTTGCAGAATAGAGAATGTTGTGGCCAGAGTACAATAATTAACTGTGTTTCTTGTAACTCAGTAGGTAGTCATTTTGATGAGGAGGCTGTTTTTACAGTAAATCTTGTTCTGTCTAGTGCAAATGCAGAGGCACTGAAGCAGTGTTCATCTCGCTCGAGTGAGGTGTGCTCTCCTGGAGTGATAGTTGTACATCACTCACAGTTTAATGGACTTACTGTACCATAACAGACAGGAGTTTTGTAGGAGAAGAGGTCTCTTGCAGATGATGGATGAGAATCCTACATGAGTACTCTGCCATGCTGAAAGGAGTGGATTGTTTTTTTCTGTTATGTACCCTTAATTTTATTGTTGGAAGGTGAAGACTGGAAACAATACCCCTTCAAATCTCTTTGTAGGAAGATATTGTCACAGCAGTGCTGAGAGTAGCAAGGTACTATTCTTGTGTGGCAAATGAGCACTTGTGGCCTTTAGACCTTGTATTAGTAACTTGGTCTTAAATTATAAGAATTCAGATTTCCACTGTATGATGTGGAACACCATTTCCCTAACTAATATCATCACTACTACTGCTGTCAGTGTGTCCTGATAAGGGAGCAGGAGGGCAACAGTGCATAGTAAGACACTGTGCATGTACTTTACTCAGGAAAAGCTTTTGCAGCTGTGGGCCTTATTTTTTAGAGAGAACATTATACCAGTCAAGGCAACGGTCTCATCAGGTTTGTTTGATTCAGCTGTACTGAATGTAGTGGGCATTTTGTAGAAAGGGAAGTAGAAATATGACAGAACAGTCCCCTGTGTGCTTTGTTGCCTTTCAGCGCTGGTATGAGGCAGCTGAGAGTGTGTTTTTTCCCTGAAGTGCTTTATCTGTGGGGTGGCCTTGCCCAGTGACTAATTTTGAGGTGTTTGGGAAAGTTTGCTCACCAGTCTATTGTTTGGTGGTCTTGTGCTCATGCTCATCTGACTCTGGTGAGTACCCTGATCAGCTCTGAATAATGCTTGTGTGCTGCTCAGAAAGTGCTGACTCACTTCGTTTTCATGCTTTTCCCCTGTCTTTTTCCAGTGCCTCGAACTAGAAAGGCGATAGGGTCCAAGGTAGGGTCAGAAGGATGCAATAGCAATGAATGAGAGTAACTGTGTGTTGTGGCAAGGATGAAGATGCTGCAAAGACCCCTCTTTAATAATGTGAGGAAAATATGATAGCTGTAACGGATTTGCTGAAAAGACATGTAAGCTATGTGTTAGGAACCGAGCAGAGCAGTGTAACAACAGTAGTGAGCCCACCAGGAGATGCTGGATTATGGGCCTGCTAGTAGTCTGTTCTTCAACTTGAACTTAAAGCCTTTTTGCTTCTTATGCTACTGTTTTGACATTCTTTTCTTCTGTCTGTCATGTTATATTCTGCCACAAAGAGCTTTACACTGAAATAATTTTCTGCTTCTTGCAAAAGGGCTGACCTGGCTTGAGGTTTCTCTTGTAGCATAAATAACAGGAACAGTGAAAGGTAATTAACCAGTTCTAGGCTGGAATGGAGTCAGAGGTCACTGAGAGAAGATTTACTTGCCAGAAGGTTAGGAGTTGCAGGCAAAGATGAGCGCACTGATTTCAGTTGCATGTGGGTTACTTATTAACATCTGGAAAAAAAAAACTGATGTGCACCAGATGGACTTTTAATTGGACCAGCAAAGTTAAATTTCAGTCACAGTTTCCCACCAGGATCCAGGTAGATGTATAGGTTTGTCCATGCTGGTTCAGTTGGCAGATAATACAGGTTTTTTTCACCTATCGGAAACTCAACACCTGCTGTTAAAGACAGGGAAATAAATATATTTGGGGGGAGTCTATATGTGGAAATGGCACATGATTTGAAGTGACAGCTGCTTTGTGAAAGTTAAACTGTATCCTGCTTCTCTTGCTGTCTTCACCTTATCCGTGTCTTCACACATTGTAGTTTGCTGCTTCTTACCATGTTTTTGAGCATTTTGGAAAATACTTTTACTGCAGATATTGCTTTGCACTTCCAGAAGGTCTTAAAGCATTCTGCCTGCAAGCAGACTACAATTGCACTTGAATAATTTATGAGGTTCCCCCCTTCAAGTCACAGGTGATTTGTAAGGGGTTAATTCCATGATTTTGTCTCACTGTATGTTTTTTACATGCCTGTGCCTCTGAGTGTAAATATTGCATTTCACCCAAAAAGGAGACAGAAAAAAAAACTTCATTTTGAATTTAAACCTTGTAAAAGTATCTCAAAAATATTTGAAGATAGCAGGAGTAATACTCAAAGCCAAGCTTTTAAAAGGACATGGGTGTGTGCTGTTGTTCAGAGATGCTGTAGAAAATCCAGGTAGGTGGTGGTGTATCTAAAGCTTAATTGAGTGCAAAATGTATATAAATGTTCCTGGATTCTTAGCTGCATATTTAGGAGCTGTTAACATATGCACACTTACCATCCAGTAAAGTAAATGCAGTCAGATCAAACACACTCTCTGAATGATCTTGCTGGATGTTTAAGGTGGTTTTGACTAGCCCTGGCTGTAGGTGCTGAGAATACAGGATCATTAATTAGTTTCATCACATTTGCCTGTTATGGAGTCATAATGTTTGCTAAACAACAAAGACAATTGAAACTTGTTGAGAGATTTCTTCTGGCTTGTTTGAATCGGTTCCAAAATGAAACCTCCCTTTATTACTGGTGCCTGTGATAAAGGCTTTAATTCTCTGAAGTTCTCAAATTAAATCAGGCTGTTAGGGGACTGATGGTCAGACAGATTGAGGAGGCTAGAAGTATTCCTAGTTCATACTGTGGCAGAATAGTTCTGGACACTCATTAGGCAGAGGTGAGGAAAAACTGATGTAGAAAGGGACTGCTGATATGTGGGTAAAGCTGTCACCATGTTTATTTGGGTTTTTACCTGGCGTCTGGTTGTTTCCTGTGTAGGTGCATCTGAGCCTTTCTCTGAAGCTGGCATCTTGTTTTTTGGAACCATGCCACCGAGATCTCAGCTATAAGATGTTTTAAGTACTGGGTGTTAGCTCTTTGGGGCAGGGGTTGGTTTTATTTGCATAATAAATCTGGAAGCTTTGCTCTTCAGTTGAACTATTTTCTACAAAAAGAATCATTGAACAGTATTTAATGAATAAGTACGAATATCCTGTGTATCTC